TTTTCACAGATTGTAACATATGAAGAAGAAATATCAAAGCTGAAACAAATAAATCAATCTATCAAGCAAGAAAACAAAGTTCTTCGAGAAAAAGTGGCATATAAGGATAAAGAAAAAGAAAATATGGACACAATCCAAACAGACATATTAGATGAAAATGGAGAACCAATCACTGATCCTGCTGAAAGCGCAACAAAATTTAATGAATTCTTCACAAGTATTTTTAAAAGGGCACCCAATGTCAACAACTATCCCCAATCATACAAAACTATACTAAGAGATCATAATTCAAATTGTTTCAAAACTGAATAATTGTTTCAACTTCCCCCAATATCTGAAAAATTTGTGAGGAACATGCTTGAAACTCTAGACTGTAGCAAAGCAACTGGCCTTGACCAAATAAGTGCTCGTTTCTTAAAACTAAGCTGCCATGCTATCTCAAGCCACTTGGTTAAAATAATTAACCTAAGTATTGATACAGGTAAGTTTCCTACTGCGTTTAAAATTGCTAAAGTAATTCCAATCTACAAAAAAGGGTCTAAATTTGATAAAAATAACTATAGACAAATCTCTCTTTTATCAAAAATCATTGAAAAGCATGTATCTGATAGTCTCAAACAATTTCTTGAAGACAATAACCTTTTTCATCAAAAACAGTCTGGGTTTAGAACAAATCACTCTTGTGAAACCGTTCTAACATCCATAGTAGACAACTGGATTGATCAAATCAATAACCACAATCTTGTAGGAACCATATTTCTTGACCTAACAAAAGCCTTTGATCTAGTTAACCATACACTACTCATTGAAAAACTTAGTTGTTATAACATCTCAGATCATACATTACAGTGGATCCAATCATACTTAACAGAAAGATCTCAGAAAGTATCTGTGTCAGGCACCACATCTGAGTCTTTGGGTGTATCAGCTGGAGTCCCTCAAGGATCTGTCTTACGACCCACTTTAGTCTTGATCTATATAAATGATTTACCTTTACATCTTGAACACTCAGAAATGGATATGTTTGCAGATGATGCTACAATAAGGGCAACAGGACATTCCACTGAAACTTTAAACGTAAAACTTCAAAAAGAGCTACACTCCAAGGCCGTCGATGGTCCGGCCGGTCCGGCCTTGGCCGGACCAATATTTTGGCCAAAAATTAGTGAATAAAAAAAACAAAAACAAAAAACACGCATCGCTGTTTAGCAATTTAACACTTAACTGGCCCCTTATGCAATGCGCGGTAATATACAAACATAACGCGAAGAAAAAACTGGACACAATTGGTATATGTAGGAGTCCTACGAATTCAAGTTCGAGTACTTTTTCGGTGTAATGCTCGCACACGACATCCTAGCATTGACAACCTCAGCAAATCTCCTCAACAAGTTTCATTGTCAGCATCCGAGGGTCAGCGGCTAGCAAAGATGACTCTAGATAGTTTGATAGACATGAGATCAGATGACAGTTTTGATTCTTTATGGATTAAACTTCAAAGTGAGATTGATTGCGTCATGTTAACGATGGAGGACAAAGGCGCCCACACGATTCGAGATGGGGCACGGTGTTGGCTACCACCCCGTTACAGTGCAGGACGTGTTCCGGCCTAGGTAGTTTGAAGCAATCGATCTTGCCATCGCCTGTGTTAAAGAGAGATTTGACCAACCTGGGATATCGCGTACTTCAAAACGTGGAGAATTTACTTATAACGAGTACACTAGAGAACTTGGTTTTGCTTGAGATTTCTGTGGTAACGATATTAACCGAGACATGTTATATGTGCAGATTCAGCTGCTATGTTCACATTTTGACAAATCAGAAAATAGTACTGTTACTCTACCTGACATTTTGAAATTTGCGTCAGAACAGTCAGCACTGTTCTCTGAGGTCGTTGTGTTGTTAAAGATTTTGTTAGTAATGCCTGCTACTAATGCTACCAGTGAAAGGACATTCTCGGCGTTCAGAAGAATTAAGACATACCTGAGATCGACAATGTCTCAAGTACGCTTGAACAATCTAATGGTGTTACATATTCATAAGTACAGGACAGATTCACTCAACTTACGTGTAATTGCCGATGAGTTCATTACTACCAGAGAATGACGGCGATGTATTTTTGGAAAATTTACATACAATAAGACTCTGTGTTGTGTAAGATTATTGTTAACAAAATAAAAGTTATTGCTAGACAAAAAGTGGTTATTGTTGACCCGTAATTATTCTTCCATCATGTCATCGATTGTTATTTAAGCTTATACCATTGTGTGATTAATGCTAAACAATAATACACGTACTGTAATATTTCTTTTAATTGTTTATTTATAATCATCAGATAAATTTCACCCTTAAAACTTACAACGCACTTAAATCTGTAAAAACTCGTTGACATATTACTAAAACATGTACTAGCGGCAGGCTGTAAACTGTGCCAAATATACGGGAAAACGCCCCTGAGAGCATCCTAGAATAAAAAAAATTCCAGGGGAGCATGCCCCCCTAGATTCTACCAAAAACCAATCAAATTGGCAGCACCAATCACAAAATCGTGACGACGGGCCTGCACTCTATTCAAGAATGGTGCACTCACAGTGCTATATACCTAATACAGACAAAACTAGAGCTATGTTCATATCAGCCTCAAAAAAGACCCAAAATTACACTCATGCATCAACAAGTACACCACTTCAATTATTTAACAATAATATAGAGTTCACTGAATCTGAAAAGCTTCTTGGAGTTCAAGTTGACAATTGCCTAACGTGGAAACTTCAAGTAGAACAAACAATAAAGAAATGCAATAGTAATCTCTATCTTCTTTTAAGGTTAAAACAATATCTAAATTTACATGCCAGGAAACTTTTCTATAATGCCTATATTTTACCTCATATAGACTATTGCTGTTCAATTTGGGGAAATTGCTCAAATGAACTTCTTAAGAGAATGCTAAAATTTCAGAAACGAGCAGCTCGCATTATTCTAGATAAAGCTGCAGATTCACCATCTGACCCTCTTTTCAAAGAATTAAGATGGTTGAAATTTAATGACAGGGTTGAGTACAAAAAGGCTATCCTGATATACAAATCATTACATGAAGAAAACTCACCATGCTACATGAAAGAAAAATTTCATTTTGTCTCAACTTTACATAACAGAAATCTCAGATCAACAAAAAATCTTAATCTACACGTCCAAAAACCTAATCTCGAGTTTTACGAAAATCACTTTCTTATTCTGGAACTAAAATCTGGAATAATATACCCCTCTATGTACGCCAGTCTGAAAGTACTGATAAATTCAAAAAAGCTTACATAAAGTGGAAGTACCCTGGTTAAACCAGTACCATAGTATTATGTTTATATAATTATGTTTACTGCAGTTTTCATTGTTAATGGTTAATGTTTATTTTGTCATTGCATTTATAACTGTTTAATTCTATGTTTTATATATTACATTGTCTTTTGTACAATTATTTGATGTAAATATGTTGAGGTACATATGGAAGATTGTTTTGGCGAATATGTAGCCTCGTTAAATAAAGCCTTATTATTATATTATCATTCATTATTATTAATACCTTTGACCCATCTACTGGTCATGAACAATCATCATACCAAGTTTGAAGTTCCTAGGCCTAAGCGTTCTTTAGTTATCACTCTGAAACCATTTGGTCGACGGACAGACAAATGCAAAGCAATATACCCCCACTTCTTTGAAGGGGGGCATAAATATCAAGTAGGTCTGCTGATATCAAAATTCAATTCAGCATTAGAAATTATACCCTTGGTCCCAATTTCATGTTTGTACCGCAAAAAGTAAGAAAGTAAGCAACTGCTTTTCAGTAAACGAAAAAAAGACTACCTAAGAATGCTACAGACAAAAAGTGGTGATCATGCATCAATTAGTTCTGTAGAAGCAGACTTTTAAAGGTATTTCTATTTTTAGCTTTAGCGGCCCCTAAAAGGGACCAATCAAATTAATATGAGCAAACTTGATAAAAGACTACCTAAGAATGCTACAGACAAAGTTTGGTGATCATCCATCAATTATTTCAGTAGGAGATGATGTTATCTACTTTTAGCTTTAATAAATATGAGCAAACATGATAAGAGACTAATTAAGAATGCTACAGAGAAAGTCTGGTGATTATCCATCAATTATTTTTGTAGGAGATAATATTCAAAGGTATTTCTATTTTTAGCTTTAGCGGCCCCTAATAGGGGCCAATATAATTAATATACTTCTTACTTCTTCCCACCGCTTCTTACTACCCCTTCTTACTTCTTACTACCGCTTCTTACTTTTTACCACTGCTTTACTTCTTACGAATGCTACAGACAAAATTTGGTGATCATCCATCAATTAGTTCTGTAGAAGGAGATGTTTAAAGGTATTTCTATTTTTAGCTTGAGCAGCCCCTAAAAGGGGCCAATTAAATTAATATGAGCAAAGGTGATAAAACACTACAAAAGAATGCTACAGACAAAGTTTGGTGATCATCAATCAATTAGTTCTGTATAAGAAGATGTCTTAAGGATTCTCTGTTTTTAGCTTCAGCGGCCCCTTAAAAGGGCCAATCAAATTAATATGAGCAAACATGATAAAACCACTACCTTAGAATGCTACAGACAAAATTTGGTGATCATTCATCAATTAGTTCTGTCGTAGAAGATGTTTAAAGGTTTTTCTATTTTTATCTCTGTTGACCCCTTAAAGGGGCCAATTGAAATGACATGAGCAAATTTAAGCGTGACTGGATCAAGGATGCTACAGACCAAATTTGAGGTAAATCTGCCCAGTAGTTTCAGAGAAGAAGATGATTGTTGACGCATGACGCCAGACGCCGGAGTATCCCCCTTTGATATTAATAGCTCACCTTGAACCTTCGGTTCTGGTGAGCTAAAAAATAAAAATAGATAAATATATAAATATTTATCAAGTAGAAGTAAAGAATAAGTAAAATCTTTTAAAGAAAAATTAAGGAAACGAAAAAAGCTTACTCTTCAAACATATGTTTATATAATTCTGCAATGGTGCCTTCATTTTCCTGGCAACCTATAAATTCTGTATGCCTCTTTGAATGAACACTTTTAATACAGTTAGTCCATATGGATAATAAGTTCTGCTTGGCTGAAAAATAAGAAATTAAATAAAAATGGTTGGTCATTCATTGCTAAATAGTTTAATTTCACATGAGATTTCAAATTATATTTGAATACAATAAAAAAGTGCACAAAAGTATAATAAATTTATTCTATTCCAACAAAGTAACAAATCAGTGTAGACTCTGCAAGTACAAACTATAATGTTTATAGAGTGTATAAAATAATGACTACACCAAATGTATAAATCTGTGCTAGCCTGCACTACAGTGGAGTATTATCAAAATCTATGCTGCACAGGCATGAAGTTCTAAACTAGTGATATAACCAAACTGTTATTGTTGTTTATACTAATACAAATTACCCCCAGTTCTAACAAGAGGTTCATTAAATCCTGGTCTCAAGCGTTTGTTTGGCGGGCCCAAATACTCTTGACTGTCATCCAGATTAAATTCCTTCTTCTCATGTTCTGTCATCTTCTGATACCTAAGAAATATAAAATAATTTTATCTTTACACAATTGGTATTGTAATAATATAACTTTGTAAACAGTTATTGTTTAATAAGTAATTTCCCATACGATCACTTTTCTCAGTCGAAATTTCTAAACATATTTTTCAACATTCCTAAAATGCTTTTTTAATCATTGTTACATATGTACACCAGTCTTCTTATTACATGACACAAAGTTAACTCATGACCAATATTTTAATATTGTATTTTCTTTTATTACTTATGTCATACATATTTCCTTGTTTCTTTACCTAAAACTATAATACATGTGCATAAAAAGCTTCATAAAATATACTAAATGTATACAGAAATGAACAGTTGGCTTTTTGTCAAAGTACAACTAATTAGTTCTAATACTTTACATTCAAGTATCAAGAATAATTGTTCATTATCATTAACTGATGACAAGACTTTTTTGACCCAGGCAGAGCCCTGGTCGATCCAAGCAGAACCCCGGCAGAGCCCAGGACATAGTCCCGGTCGATCCAAGCAGAACCCCGGCAAAACCCAGGACAATCCAGGCAGAGCCCCGGTCGATCCAAGCAGAACCCTGGCAGAGCCCAGGACAATCCAGGCAGAGCCCCGGTCAATCCAAGCAGAACCCCAGCAGAGCCCAGGACAATCCAGGCAGACCCACGGTCGATCCAAGCAGAACCCCGGCAGAGCCCAGGACAATCCAGGCATAGCCCCAGTAGAACCCCGGTGGATTGAAAACGTATGAAAATGAATACACTGATACATAACTTTTATTTAATATTACAGTCAAGACTGTCATATGTGACTTTCCAATGGATCTTCAGAAAAAGGTCACATATGACAGGGAATCTCTTAAAACAGTCTCAAAGAAAATTAAAGTAGATCTACCATCTATATACCATTGTGACGTAACATACATAACTGTGTGAAGGAATAATATCTTAGCAATTGCAAATACACATACAGTAGGTTCTTGATGTAAATAAAATAAGAATTCCTGAAAAAAGCAACAAATATAATTGCATGTATATCATATAAAATTTAATTTCATTTTTTGTATTAGGTTTATCTTGAATGATTATGGTACAAAATAAAATAGAATTTGATGCATTCAAATCCTTAGAATAAATATCATAATTTAAACAAGAGGGCCATGATGGCCCTAAAATAGCTCACCTGTATATAGGCCCTTAGAGCGGGGCTAATTTTAACCCACAGGCTTTTTTTTAACCAACTTGGTAGACACCAATTAGAAGATGTTTCATGATAAATATCTAAGCTCCAGCTCTTTGGGGTTTTTTAAAAGATTTTTTAAGTTTTTACTATATACATATAAGGAAAAGAAATGCCCCCAGGTACGGGGCCAATTTTGACCCCAGGGCTTTAATTTGAACAAACTTACTAGAAGATGTTTCATGCCAAACATCTAAGCTCTAGCTCTTTTGGTTTTTTTAAAAGAAGATTTTTTAAGTTTTTACTATATACATATAAGGAAAATCAATGACCACTAAGGTGGGGCCAATTTTGACCCCAGGGCTTTTATTTGAACAAACTTGGTAGACACTCACTAGAAGATATTTCATGCCAAATATCTAAGCTCTACCTCTTTGGGTTTTTTAAAAGGAGATATTTTAAGGTTTTTTCTTTTAGTTGCCATGGCAACAAGAGTTCTGCATGGAATTAAATTCTTTGAACAATTTTTAAAGGTGACCACCAAAGGACTATTCCTGTGAAGTTTGAATGAAATATGAGGAGATGTCATTTGAAGTAAAAGTTTACGGACGACGGACAGACGGATGATGGACGAAAAGTGATCACAAAAGCTCACCATGTCACTTTGTGACAGGTGAGCTAAAAACATATCCATATCCACAGTTTTTTCTCTTTAAATGAAAAACTTTTTTCCGTAGTATTCATGCAGCCATAGAAAGGTAAATTTAAGAAAAACGCTGCCTTAAAAAATCTTCCATTGTCACTCCATAAACAAGAGCTGTCATAGGAGACAGCCAAGCTCGACTAATAAAATACTGGACGCAGTAAGGAGGACAAAACTATGAAAGAAAAATCAACTATGTATAATTATGTATTAAGTTATAGTAAAAAAATATCATTTGTTAACATAAATTACAAGATCAAAGGGGAATAATTCTAGAAATAGTCATGCTAGAGTTATGAACCTTGTCACACAACATGTGTGTAATGATAAGAAATATATATTTGAAGTTTATAGTAAAAAGTAAAGAAATTATAATATTTCTTAAAGAAAATCCTAAGTTCAAAGAAAGATTAATCTGTAAATATTGCTTCAAGAGTTACGAACATTGTCACATAAAATGTAATTGATGATAAAGAATAAGTATTTGAAGTTTGAGGTAGATACCTTTAAAACTAAAAAAGTTATAAAAAAATAACATTTTCTAGTAAAAAAATCTAAGTTTATGGGGAGATAATTCTTGCAATATTAGTGCAAGAGTTATAAACCTTGTCACATAAGATGAGGATGATGACAAGGTACATATATTTGAAGTATGAGGTTGATCCTTTAAGAAATAAAGAAGTAACAGTAAAAAATAGTATTTTTTGAGGAAAATTCTAAGTTCAAGGGGAGATAAATCTGAAAATATTGGTGCTAGAGTTATGAACCTTGTAACATAAGATGGGGATAATGATAAGGTACATATATTTGAAGTATGAGGTTGATCCCTTAAGAAATAAAGAAGTAACAGTAAAAAATAGTATTTTTTAAGGAAAATTCTAAGTTCAAGGGGAGATAAATTTGAAAATATTGTTGCTAGAGTTATGACCCTTGTCACATAAGATGTGGTTGATGATAAGGAACATATATTTGAAGTTGATACCTTAAGAAATGACAAAGTTATAGTGAAAAATATTTTACTGCACCAAAACTTTAATCTGAAATCTGGACGCCGACGCCGGGGCGAGAAGGACAGCTCTCCATATACTTCGTATAGTCGAGCTAAAAATCTGACACAAATCTTAATCCAGTTTGCTCAAGTCATTATTATGTTCATTACACCTCAATTTGTTACACATTGATTGCATCATGCTTACCTTATTTGGCAGTAGGTAATAGACGCTACGTCCTTGATACCTGAATACATGTAAACCGTGTAATTGGCAGAGTTGTGTAAAGTTTGTATGAAGAGTACTGACTACTGGTTTATAATTTGATGTAATTATTTTGTCCCTCAGGGTGTTAAAACAGGTATTATTTGTCTGATTAACGGGCAATTAAAAGGTGTGAAAGTTGTTTAAATCAGACAAAGCAATACATTGGGACCAGACAATCAGGGTCGCTTGTCACATATGACAGAGAGTCATATACTTCAGACTATTTATATAGGAAAATACGTCGGGCGGACTGAAACAAGGTCGGATAAGACAGGGAGTCCTTGAAATCAGGGGGTCCCTAAGGCAGTCTCGACTGTATATCTATTGTTCCAGAATAGTAATTCAAGATGATTTTCTGAAAAATCCTTATGCAAGACTGAATAAAAGGGAAATGGGAAGGGTTTTAATACAAACAAGTGAAATCATCGCAAATTGTCATGATTCTTTTGACATGAAACGGGCTATGCCGGGGCTCTACCGGAATCAAACATAGCTCCATTGTCATCTTCCAGGGCTCTGCCGGCCTTCATCAGGGCTCTGCCAGCATTCATCTGGGCTCTACCCAGCATTCATCGGGGCTCTAACGTAGCTCTACTGACTATATTATGCCCTGGATCATCCCCGGTTTGTGCCAGCAGAGCTACAGTGCTTCCCCGGTGTAACCCCGGTTGTTCCTGGCAGAGCTAAGGATGAAGCCGGCAAAGCTATATTTCCCGGATCAACCCGGACCACACCAGTGATATTAAATATTTTATTACATCCTTGGTCGAATGTCGGATATTCTCGGATCATCCTGGACATTGCCAGCAGTTATGGACGTCTACTGGGGCTCTGCCGGGATGTTAGTTAGACTGTAGCTATACAGGGAACAGATAAATGAGGTGACACTAAAGGACATACTGCTTGGAGAAGTATACAGGGAAAATAAATGAGGTGACACTGGAGGACATACTGCTTGTAGAAGCATACAGGGAACAGATAAATGCTGCCTTATATGAGAGACACACTCAAAATCCTCATGGTCAATATAACACAGCGGTCATAAAGCTCTGTTATTGGAAATCTTGATGAAAATCATAGGCCCATAAATATGGTTACCATGTACCTGGAGTTCAATAATGATTATGTCCCCTCTATAAAAACCCACACACATTTGGTACTTCATCTTTACTTTATAACAGTACTGCAGAAACAAAAGTAGCCCATTGTCAAAATTACCTTGCATCATATATGTATCATTCACAGCAGTGAGCGTATAAAAGTAAATATTTTTGTATACTGTAAGTAAAGTTAATGTAATGTATGTTGATGGTAAAAACAATAATATAAAATACCGGTACAGCATCTAGAAATGAGATAACTTATTTTATACTCAAACTTTGTTTCATGAAAAAAATGCTACATTGTACATTACATCAAAATAACAATATCATACTTATCAAGATCTTTCCATGCACTTTCAACTTCACTAAGTTCATCCTTCACTGCCAGTTTATCAGCCTTACGTTTCTCATCTGAGGGTTTCTTACACTCTAGTAGACATTCAAGAATTTTCAGGTGCATATCAGAGGTGCCTGCATGAGCCTGTACCAATGCCTCCATCTCTGACCACATCTGTGAGTATTGCTGATCTCTGAAGTATGAATTACAATAAGATAAATATGTACATATGTACATGTAAGTTATGCAAGCGTTTTATTTGTAAATGATATTGTACTTGTGTTTTGCTAGCAAAGTGTCAAACACCGAGAGGCCAATCTCAAATGTATTCAAATTAAAGGCCTATTAAACAAAAGAAAATAACAATAGAAATGGCCCTTTATCCCTATTCGGTTTGACGTCCGTCCATTCCTCCCTCCATCCGTGATAACACAAAAAGTACCAAAAATATTTTTATGAAACTTGATATATGGATAGATGGCAGCCTAGATAGTATGCACGTCTTTTTCTTTTCTTCCTATGTTGAAAACTTTGGTTGCTATGGCAATAAATAGACTGAAAATATGGCTTATTGAACACATAAACTGGATCCAGTGATAAATATAAAGTACTGAAAATATTTTTATGAAACTTGAAATATGGGTAGATGGCAGTCTCGAGATTATGCCCGTCTTTTTCTTTTCTTCCTATGATGAAATAATTGTTGCTATGGCAACAAATAGGCTTAAAACATGGCAAATATAACAATATTTGTAATTACTCAAAAAGTACAGTAAACATTTTGATGAAACTTTAATTTCGGATGGAGTATGGAGATTATGCACATAATTTTAATCTTGACTATAGGGAGTATATTGAGAGCTGATCTACTTGCCGTCGGCGACCTCGTCAACATTCTGTTTTTACGCATTTTTGCTATAAGTTCTTTATTTCTTAAGATATTTACTTCAAACTTCAAATATATATGTTTCTGATCATCAACCACATCATATCTGATAAGGTTTACAACTCTAGCACAATAATTGTCAGACTTACCCCTGTTTTTTTTTATAATTTCTTTATTTCTTTAAATGTATCTACTTCAAACTTCATATATATGTTTCTTATTATCACTCAAATCATTTGTAAGAAGGTTCAATATTCTAGCTTGACTATTTTCAGAATTATTTCCCCCTTGAACTTTTTTCTTCTTTGTGACTATTAATGGTATCTTCTTTATACTTGTTACACTCACATCTTGTATGACAATGTTCATAAGTCTAGTATCTTTACATTAAGAATTATCTCCCCTTAGTTTAAGAATTTTGCTTTAAAAATGTTATTTTCTTGAAACAACAAAGGATGTTTGAAGATTTACCATCAGTCTCAGTGTCCTTCAGTCTGTCTGTCTGTCCGTTCCTAAAATCTGTTTCCTGAGATCACTTTTAAAGAACTTTTCCAACAAATTTACTAAACAAATTTAGAGAAAAGTTGAAACTAAAGTTATACATCATATTCATTCTGAGAAAATTGGATCTTTTGATTATCTGTTGTATAAACCTAATTTCCTTACTAGGCAGGGAAAGATTTCTTTGATATCAATGACCAATGACCCTCTAGAATGTTGCTGGGGTTCTAACCAGTAGGAGGCTTATGGATTGCTTGCAACACTATGATAATTGCTTGTTTTATATAATTTAAACATGTAGACAGATCTTGAATCTTTTAAGTCTCTAATTTAATAAACAGTATTTCTTTTAAAAAGAGTCATTATTACTAAGAATGTCAGAAATAAGCCATGTCTGAATTTGTATCTGTACAAACCTCAAAACCTAAATTGTTTAAACTTGTTGTTTAACAACAAAAGACAAGGTTGACATTGTCTCAAAATACGCCCATCACAAAACTTCAGGTGGAGAAAGTTGGTCCCTATACATATTTTCATGTTGTTTTTTTTCTGTAATTTTACTTCTGTGTGACCTTGATCTTGGTTGCAAGGACCTGAATTTTATGAGCTATACTCAGAGTCAGAATGATGACATTTTTTGCCAAGTTACATTAAAATCCCTTCAATGCTTGTAAAAGTTTGCTCTGGACAATTGTTTTTCAAAGAGATATAAATGTGACTTTGACCTTAGACCTGGAGACTTAGCATGTAACGTCTCATGGAGGTGAACAATTCTATAAAATAACATTAAAAGTCTTTCATGCATGTAGAAGATATGCTCTGGACAATATCTAGATATTTAATCATCTCTAGCTACCTTGACCTGTTGTCATGATAGTTACCATTTGTGTTAAAATCCATCAATAAATGTTGACTAAATGGTCCCTATACATATGGTCACATTTTATCTGAAATTTGACCTCTACAAAAAGTCATGTGACCTTGCCGCCAGGATCTTAATTTTGCGTGCGACATTCTGCCTCACAATGGTTAACATTTGTGCCAAATCATAGTGAAATACCTCCATGCATGTAGAAGTTGTGCTCCGGACAAGCAACTCACAATGACCTCTAAGAGTGACCTTGTCATTTGACTAACAGACCTTGTTCATGTGCATGACACAGCTTTTCATAAGGGTGGACATTTGCGTGAAGTTTCATTAAAATCCGTCTATGCATGTAAAAGATATGCACCGAACAAAATTGGATGACAACGGCCCGCCAGGGGCATTCCCATTATACAACCTGTTTTTTAAAATGGGCATATAACAAGAATGCATTTGTGAAAAAATGCTATGCCACCGAATTAATATAACAGAAGTAGATTTTTTTTTTGTTACTTTCGATTGAACTTTGCCATCATGCAGTAGTGTCTAGTAAATTTGGAGGTCAAGGTCATATTTCAGCATGTCAAATCATTTATAGACACATGTGCAGATGTGTCTAATGTTAAGATAGAAAAGGCCATAGTGCAATAATTTATTCAAAAATAAAAGAATTTTATTGACAAAAAAATAGGTATTAACTGTATAATATAGCTGTATGAAACTTTGAAATGCGGGGACAGTAACTTTTTCTTAAATTAAACATAACCAATTTCTAAAATCATAATCATTATTATATACAAAGTGTGAATCATAATGTTCTTATATTGTGCTAAAATTGTTTATTTTAATATCTCTACAAAGCTCACAATTGTCTTGCTAGAGTTTATGACCTGAATCACTGAAAATCATGACCTTTAACACTTACTGTTAGCTATTGAATATTACATAAAAATTGCATAACATGTAAAAGACATTCCTATGTAAGTTGTTTTATTTCATTCAAGAAGTTTTTACTATATGAACATATTGAAAATCAATAACCCCCCCAGGGTGGGGCCAATTTTGTCCCCAGGGTCATGATTTGAACAATCATGATAGAGGTCAGCTACACAATGTTTCATGCCAAATATCTATCCTTTGTCAATTCCAAGAAATAAATCTTTTAAGTATTTATCATATACACAGGAAAACCTTTACCGCCAGGGAAGGGCCAATTTTGACACTAAGGGGCAAAATTTGAACAACTTTGGTAGAGGACCTATAAATGACATTATATACCAAATATCAAAGCTCTAAGCCTTGTACCTTCAGACAAGAAGATTCTTCAAGTTTTTACTATATGTCCATAACGAAAATCAAAAACTCCCAAGGGTGGGGCCAATTTTGACCCCAGGGCTATAATTTGAACAATCTTGATAGAGATCAACTACACAATGTTTAATGCCAAATATCTATCCTCTAGCCTTTGTCAATTCAGAGAAAAAGATTTTTTAAGATTTTATATATGGAAAACCTATGACCCCGGGGCGGGGCTAATTTTGACACTAGGGGCAAAATTTGAACAACTTTGGTAGAGGACCTTTCATATACCAAATATCAAAACTCTAATTTGTACTTTAGAATAAATTTTTTTTTAAAGTTTTTATATATGTACATAGTGAAAATCAATGACCTCTGTTATGTAAAATATCTAAGCTCTAGGCCGTGTGGGTCTTTTCAAGAAGATTTTTTAAAATTATTAACTTAATTCCTTTTGGTTGCCATGGCAACCAGATTTCTGCATTGAATCAAATTCTTTGAACAACTTTGGAAGCCCTTCACTCAAGGAACAATCCTGCCAAGTTGGTTGAAATTGGACAAGTTGTTTTTCACAAGAGGATTTTTTAAGTTCACTATATAATCAATATAACACACACACGCGCACATGCACACACAAACACATGTGAATCGCTATATGCCACCAAATCACAGATGCTGCATTGGCATAAAACAACATATATACACCAATAAATATATGTGGTCATTTAATGCACAAATCAGTGAAAATTCAATAATTTAACCTTAAAGGTCAAGGTCATAAAAGAGCCAAGGTCAATTTGAGTTTGATAAACATGAAGGTCTTGTCCTTAAAAATGTTCTTTAATAATATGGAGTCAATCCATTCAATAATAGCAAAGTTACAGCCAGTTACAGCAAAAAAAGAGGAAAATTTCAATAATTTGACCTTCAAAGGGTTATCCTTGAAGACTATTAAGTTCAAGTTTGAAGACAATCCATTCAAAAATAACAGTTACAGCCAATAATAGCAAGAACAAGCAAAATTTGGACTTTTGACCTTGAAGGTCAATGTCATTTATGGATGAAGGTCAAGGTAAGTGTGGTCTTCTGAAAGGTCTTGTCCCAAAGGGTTGATGTGGCCATGGTATGAGACATTATAAACCAAGAACTAAAAAAGTTATGATCCAGGTACAAGTTGGCGGACGGCAACGCCGCCAGGACTATAACAATACATCTACCTTTTTTTAAAAAGTCGAGCTAATAATGGGTTATTTTCATCAACAGGTATTTGAAACATACTATTAAACCCCTCCCAGATATACCATAATATAAGCATTGTTGATGTAGAATGAATGAATTTGCCTAGAAACAATTAAAGCCTGTTGTTATTTTCTCAATACCTCAGATATTTTGTTTCACCAATTTTAACTAACTTTTCATTATTTTTTTTATAAATGCTAGAAACAGGATTTACAGAAACACATTATAGATGGAAGACAAACACACTTTGACATATTGTCTAATTGTGCACAGCTTCCCAGACAAGTATATTAGGAAACTTTCAGCACCGATTGTGATTATTTCTAAGATGATCACAAACATTGGTATAAATACTCTCTACAGCCATCAATAGATTTTACAGCAAAAGTCTAATTATTGAGAA